TGTTATGATGACAAAACAGCTACTGAGAGCCCTTCTGGGTATGGCTTGGCTTTTTCACAGCTCTGAAAACCAGCTGTGCCCCACAGCTGTGTTGTTCCTGGGAGACAAGAAAGCATGAAAGTGTTTGCAAAGTGACAGCCTTGCAATGTGTGACTGATGGTGCCAGAGCAATGCCTGATCTTTCATATCCCAGCTCACAGCCATGGCCGGCTCCAGCCCTGTGTTGGTTTTGAAAGCAAGCAAGCTTTGCAGTCAGCAGTTTCAAACACTCAGATTCCTGTGCCAAACTGGTCTCCAAGGCCTGAAATCAGATGGGAGGGGGCATTTCCTGGGCTGCTGTATTGATCCTGAACAAAGGACCCTCAGCCAGGTCACCCCCACTCAATGCCATGATCGCACCACCTGCCTGGCCCTAGCTTTGTCTAACAGAGGAGCAACAGGAGATGGAGATCATCCTTTAGACCAGAGAGTTGGTTTTGTGTGTGGAAATTATAAAACAGCTCAAGTGACGAAAAGGGAGAGCTGCTCTCCGTGGATAGTTTGCATCTGCTCTGTGCAGCACACTGTGGGGAAATCCATGTGGGCTCTGACTGATGCTGTGTGCATGTGAGGAGTCCAGCATCTGCATTTTACCTGCTGTCTGCGTTTCTCATCTTACTCAGTCTTATTAAAGCAATCATTAAGCTATTCATTGCTAGGCCTTACTTCTCTTTCTCTCCCTTCCCTCCCCTCAACCCCTACTCTAGAGCAGAACAGCTACCCAGGTTGCAGTAGTTACCAAATAAAATAAAGGGTTATTTTGATTTGAACTTGTAAGGGAAAAAGGCTGACAATGTATGTTGCATGCACATGCATGGGTCAGTTTGCTCCCAGAAGTAACATTTTATTATATATCAAGAGTTCTATTATCATTATAGTGCAAGGATTCCATATCTCCAGAGTTTCATACCTCCTCGATGTTTCTCACAGGCAGCTCCTCTAAGCACTGACTGTTCCTGGTCCTTGCAGCAGCCATCTAACTCCAGATCCCACCAATCCACTCTTTTATAACACTGTTCTTATTGGCTACAGGTGTGGCCTGTTAACATCAGGCCTGCTCCTGAGCTTTAGTAATTGGTTCAGCTGCAACTCTTTAGGGGTAAGATTACATTCTATACCACCTTCATTTACCCATACTGTATCCCCTACAACATTTTAGTCACTGTCACACTTCAGTAAGTGACAGAAGAACAGCAAGAAGAGTCAACTGGATAGAAGTGGAAGGACCTACCAGTACTTTTGCCAACGCTAGTTTTGCCTAACTATCAGAAATATTAGAAAAACATCCTGGTCTCCCCAAACACAGAGGCACAGGCATGCATAGGTCAGCCCCTGAGATGCTGAGTTTGGAGATAGTTCTCCATTCTCCCTGTGGGCCTACCATGGGTTTTTAACCACTCATCTCTCAGCTGGACACTGGTCTTTGTTTTAAAGATGACTTGAAATATTCTTAAATAAGGTGGTGCTGTCAGCTTTGCTGGTTTAATGATCAGTTCCTTATGATCTGAACTCAGCTGTTGCCACCTTCAAGCTCTCTAACTTCTCTCTCCCACTCTTCCCTAAGCCCCCTCAAACTTTGTTATAGGACTCAGGTAGCTGCCAGCTGACCAGGAGGAACTTCTAACTTGTTAAACCCCTTGTTATCTTGCAGCAGCAAAGTATTTCCCAACCTGTCAATGAAGCAACCAGCTTGATCTGGAGTGTCAGCTCTGAGTTTCTCATGTCCATGCCCATGTTACATCCTCATCTCCACTGCAGCTACTCCACATCTGCTGGCCCTCTTGTGCCCTGGTGTTGTGGAGATGTAGAAGCAGCCTGCAAGAAAGATAGACTTTCTGCAATGTCATGAGGTTTATAATCCTTCAGTGCACTTAGTGACATTTCAAGTTATATGCTTTATACTCAGTCTTAATTACCAAGCCGTTACAGAGCATGCACAGTTGTCCTAGTGTTATTTCAAATTCCCAGCTGTGGTCTGTGAGGTTTTTTTTCTCCTAGAAATCCACTACACAAACGCTGCTGGGAAAACAATGGGCAGGGTGTAAGTTGTCTTATGTCCCCTTCTCCTGACAGCTTCCTGCTAAGGAAGAGGTTTATGACAAGAAGAAGCAAACCTCTCTCCAGGTCCAGCAGTGCCACGGGGTCTGTCTGGGCCCCATGGTCAGAGCTGAGCCCGGCTGAGCTCAAGTGACTCCAGCAGGTCACAGCCCCGGCCAGAGGAGGCTGAGGCAATGCTGTCCTGGTGGGTGATGCAACCCAAGGCTCTGAGAGGGCTGTATTTCTGCCTGGAAACATCTGCCTGTCACTTGGCATTTGAATGAGCAGTTGGAAGCTGCTGGTAGGTGCTCCTGTCACGGTAATGACTGTGACAGGCTTTTTCCATCTCTGAGGAGGAGATGGTTGTGACATTTGCTTTGACTGTGGCTTTGAAGCCACAGAGTTCCTGTGTTTGAGAGCAGGCAGTGAGGGTAAATGCTGTGTAAGGCTGTATTTCAGATCAGCCCAGCAATTAACACTGTCCAGGCAGTGCCATCTGACTGCTGCTGCTGAACCTGTGAACAGCAGCATGCCCTGCCCTGCCCTGCCCTGCCAGAGGCTGCTGCAGCCTTGGAAGTGAGCATGGACAGTTCAGTCCTGCCCTACATCCTCTGCTGTTACACATGGGTTGGATCTGTTTGAGCCTCTTCTCCCCACAGCTCTGCATTGTGCTCCAGGGAACACCAAGCACTGCTGTTTCAGGTCTGCACTTGGCCACTTTTCCCTGTTTTCCAGGTGGGAGTCAGTGGAGAAATGGCCCTCACTGATTTTAGGAATAAGTTAGGAAGAGAAAACCATAAGAGACTAGCTGGTTTCAGGAAAGGATTAGTCATCAATACAGCATTAAGGTATTCTCTTTTGTGTATGAAGGGCGGGCAATTACAAGCTGGAACAGAATCAAGAATGCAAACTTGTCCTTCCTCCCTCTGACCTGTGCTCTGCTTCCTCTGACTAAAGGAAAGAAAACTACAAGATTTACATTATATCTTGAAATTCAGTGATTTTAAGGCGTCTTTCAAATGCAGAGGAGAGCAGGCTGATGAGAGCCCAGTGCCACCAGTTTCCATACTTTCCAACCAGTTTACCTGCTGAGAGCCGGGCTGTCAGCAGCAGAACCTCAGTGCCAGCCTGGCATTTTGTGTCTCTTCCAAAAGACAGGCTGCAGAGCAGGGCAGGGATGGGAACAGTGCTAATATGTGAAGCATCTGCAAACTTGCCCCCAGTTTTTGGGGGTTGCCCTAGGCAGAGGTGACCAGGATGCCCCCTCTGGACAGCCTCACACAATGGTCACTTCCCAAGCCGGATCACAGATAAGGTGTGGCAGGAATGAGCCACTGGCAGGGAGCAGGGTGAGCCTGGTGATGGAGACTAGGTCATCAGAGAGCCCTGATCCCCAGAGCATCTGCAGTGACATGGGACAGGATCAGCTCTGCCACTGACTGCCAGCACAGCTGCAGCAAAGCTCGGGCAAGGAGCAGGGCTGACAGCCTGGACATGAATACAGTTCATGTGCTGGGGGACAGTCACACTTATCACTTGTTTGGTCCCCTGTGCCAGCTTCGGGGGATTTGTGGGGTGTTGATGGCTCCTTCTGGCAAGGCTGGCACATGGGATGAACCTTTCCAGCCTTTGTAGCAAAATTCTGCTTTTACTGCCAAAATTAATCCCATGTAAGCATGAGAGACAGGGCACACCGCTGAGGGCACACGGAGGGGGCTGATGTGGCTTTGCTTTGCTTCAGCATGGAAGAGGGGATGTGTGTGTGGAGAGGGTAGCAGGTGAGAAAAAGTCTCATCATCCTGCACCTCTGCAGAGGAGTTTCAGGGTGTCCTACACAAACCCCATGATTTGCTGTGGGTCTCCCGCTCCCTTCCTTGCTAGTTGCCTTTGTTGTCATTGAAGAAACTTGGACATTTGAAAAAAAAGAAAAAAAGAAAAAGAAAAAAAAAGAAAAAGAAAAAAAGAAAAAGAAAAAAAGAAAAAGAAAAAAAAAAAGGGGTAGGATGTGAAGAGAAACCCTGATCTGATTAAAGCAAGATTTGGGCGCTGGCAGAGAGCTGCCGAGGGTATTAGCAGTAACAGCTGCTGCGCTTCCCATTCGAGGAGCAGGCGAGGAAGGTCCCTGAAAGGATGGTCCTGGGCAGGCTGGCAGGGCAGTGGTGGCAGCGAGCCCGGCAGCGAGTCTGTCCCAAGGTAAGCGCCGGCGGCAGCCGCAGCCTGAGCCTGGGCAGCCCCGGGAGCAGCGCTGCTCCCCCAGGGGATGGGCACAGCAGGACGGGAGGGGAAACAGCACAGCCGGGGCAACACCCCAGGGAAAGAGCTCGGGGCTAATCCCGTGAGCTCCTGCGAGAAATCTTATCCAGCAAGGACTGTTTAGGGGTGCCCAGAAGGGAGGCCGGCTCCGTGAAGAGGAGACATCCTGCTGCTGGTCCAGCAGGGCTTGGGAAAGTTAGCAAAGGCTCCTGTGATTCTCACGAGCATCTTCTGGCACACAGCTGGTTGGAGGGCCAGGATGCTTGGCTGTGGAAGGCTAAACTGCATCCATCTGCTTGCTGCTTTAGGCTGGGCATGAATTGTTCCACTTGCAGTGGTGCTTTGTTAGTCGGCTGGCAAGTTTCAGAAGTGCTTGAGAGGGAGGTGTAAACTAGACCTCCTCAGCCTCTGCTGCCTCTGATTTATTTGCATTTACTCATTGACTAAGTGTAATGACATCTAAGGCAGGCTTGTTGAAAAGAAGCTGGTAGAAAGTGCTACATTAAAATCAGAAGCACCTGCTTTGTGATATCCATTACAATAAATGCCACACACTTATCCTTCATCTTCACTTTGAAAAGTGCATTTTGAAAAAGCAGAATAGCACAATACTCCGTTCAGTCTGGAAATGTTTTGTGCTGTCACTGCAGGGATGAGGCTCTGTGATGGCAGGCAGGGACAGGCTCTGCCCTGGGCACCAGCCCCATATGTGATGGGGCCTGCAGCAGCTCTGCAGGTCCAAAGGGCAGATGTTTCCCCTATTGATCAGGCTGGGATTTGGGCTGGGAGTGGTGGAGGGTGCTGAGTGTGGCTGTACAGAGCCTGCTTCTCCTCCTCAAACCCACAAACTTTTTAGAGCAAATCTTTTCTGACTGCACCCTCCATGGGCATCTTCACAAGAAATCCATCCTCTTGTGGTGGGCTCTTCCCTCTCCCAGGCTGAACAGTTCACTTCAGAATGTAAATGCTGTGGATTCCCAAAGTGGCTCCAGGTGCCACAGAGATCACTTATTCCCTTTTGTTTAAAGCCAGCAGGGAGGGTGGCTCTGGAGATCAGATAAATCAATGGCACCATTTGGGAAGCCACTGCTGTGAAGTGAACTCCAGGTTATTCTCTGCTGTAGGATGGAGGGTGGTGGGAGAGCCCACAGTGCCATTGTTGGCTGGGCCTGCACGAGCCTGTGCTTGGTGTCCTGCGCGGCCGCCTTCTCGCAGGGCGCCAGCCGCTCCGCCTGCAGCAACATGATGCCCAGGCACCTGAGGGTGCAGCTGCACAGCTCCAACAGCAACTACGTCACCGTCCACACCAACATGTCCTTCTTCTTCCCGGGAGACAAGGTGCCAGGTAAGGAACAGCTTCTCACTCCTGCATCTGGAAAATGCATGGTAACTTATCTCAAGCGATGCAATTAATCTCTGTGAGGTCTGGGCAGGGGGATAACTGCTCTGAGTGAGCTACAACAACTCTCTTGCCATGATGACATATTTACAGAGGGATTCTGTTTGCAGCACGGGTGCTTTGGGTGGGATTCATTTGTCTCAGCTGTGTCTCAGCCATACCAGACAGACCTCACTACATGCAGTGGACCATGTGGGTAAAGTCACCTTCCCAGCCCCTCTGCACCACTCAAAGGGGTCTGGGTGACTCACCTGACTCTTGGGCATGGTTGGCAGCACTCCCCATCCCTGGCATTGCTGCTCCTCAGGCAGATGCAGACAGAACTGAGGCACCATTCCCCAGCTTGGCCACTTGCCCGTTCATCCCTGTGCAAAACAAAACCCCTTTGAGAGCAGAACACGAGCTTTCACTCACATACAGAGTAGTGTCCAAACCTCCTTCTGTAAAAATGGCTGCACGCTGCCTGGTCCAATGGGGTTAACAGTTTATCATCAGGGAGGGATAGGGGGGAAGCCTCAGGCAAATCCTGTGGGCAATTACACATTACAAAACCAAAGGTAAAAGTCTGGCCTTCTGTATCTAGCATGTCCAAGACAGACTGTGAGGACAAAGACAGTAAGATGTTTTCAGCAATGCGGCCCAAAGTTTTTCTGGGAACTCCATTGCAGGCAATTCACTATGTAACAGCAAGACAAATCCCTTTGTGTCCCGTGTTTTGTCTTCCAAAAGTGACAGTAAGAAGCACCCGGGATTACATGGGCTTTATGCTGCAAGCACGCAAAGTGTCCAACAACGAAATCGCTGGCACGTTCATCTTCCTGCCTCCTGGTTCCAAGCTGCTGAATTGTTTTGAAGATGGTGACACTGTCACACACTCGGACAAGTCACTGAAGAGAAACCTGTCCTTCGTATGGAAAGCACCAGACCAACCCATTGGAGACATCAAGTTTTTGTAAGGACATCCTGGTTCCTAATCAGAATTTGTGTTTAGTTACAGGCTGTCCAGCACAGTGGTTTATGTATCTTGAACCCAATATAGCTAAATACTTACCAAATGCTGCTACAGCGTCCCAGCTGGTACATAAATCACCATTAATATCTGCTGCATAGTGCTGCCTTTTGTTTACATGGTCACTGTTTTCTCAGAATAGATACACTGGAAAATGACAGCTTAAGCATTTTAGGAAACAGAAATGTTAAGACATAAAGAGAGAACTGTGACCATGTTGCCTGTCTTTGTAAATAATACAGCCCATAGGACTTCCCTGCCTAAAGGATAATCTTGTATATCACTTCTTAAAAAAAAACAAAACAGATCAAAAAAAAAGAGAAAAAAATACATAGTTAAAAAAAAAGTAAACAGAGTTACTCACAATAGAAAGAGAGTGAGCACTGTGTCAAAACTTGACATCTCTGTTTTGCACCAAAGTCCCAAACTGTCCAAGTGGCTTGGTTCTGATTTGTAATGAAATTAAACAACTTCTAACTGACTGCCTTAGAGGAAGCACAGTGGCTTTTCATTTCAAAAGATATTAAATTGTTATATTTCAACTTTACAAAGTCACTTCGAAACTGCTTGGCCAGATCCTTGGCTGCTTCCCAAAACCTAAGTGTCCTGTTGAATGTTGTGGCTTGAGCATCTCATCGTGATTCAAGAAAAATTCATTGAAACAGAAATATTGCTGCTTGGAATTTCAAATTTTGGCCATTGCTTTATATCAGAAAATACTATTACAGTTTAAAGAAATACTACTAAACTCACAAAAACCCCAAATAAACTCCAAAAAATCCCAACAAGACCTAGTCCTAGATACCCACTCTGATATTTCTTTCAAGTCTGGCCTTTTATGCTCTGAGCTGATATGTGATAGACTCTTCCTTTTTATCCTGTCACAGCATCAGAAAAAATGTCTTTTTTAGGCTTAAAAATGCTTTCTAAGTGTCATCTGGCACAGAAAAACCCAGGTTGGTTTCCCCTTAGATAATTCTCAGAAGCAGCTGAGCAATCTGAGCTGAAATTCTCCCAAAATTTCCAGCTTAAATCTCCAGCTTAAATAAGGCTCTTGGGGTGCAGTTAAAGGTTGGCCAACACAGTTTTGGCACCTGACAAAAAGCAGAGGATTAGGCAGGCTCAAATATCAGAGGGCTGAGAAGAGAGACTTTTTCTACCCCTTACCTATTCTGCTGTTTGTACAAGTTACATTGGCTTGTTTTAATTAATAAATACCACTGTTGTTTCCTTGCCTACAGAAGATTGTAAGCAGGACTAGTCCCAGTTTTACAAATGTACTTCTATCAACATGATGAATGTAATACAGCTTTTGAAATTTTTTTAGGTTCCCACACATTTTTTGGCTGAACTTAATTATTTATTGAGTGGTGATTCTTCACCCCAAATCTTTCTTTTTTCCTGGTACCTATTTATTTGTAATAGAAAACATACAACAGGCTAATCCTTTAAATACTTTTGCATTGTTTCTCTCTTCAGAGTAAAGCAGTCTTTGTGATTAGCAAAACAGTCAGATGTTTTATTAATGCTATAGAGCCAGTAAATTCTTGCCTGATTCTGTTCTAACAGCATCTCCATAGTCCAGTCATACTTTGTTTACTGGGCAAAGATTGAATCTGCTGTTGTGGCTCAGGGAGGGCAAAACAAGACTCTTGCTGACAAGAAGCCTGAGGCTGTAGCCCCCACGGCCCTGCAGGGACCAGCTGACCCTCACCCCACAGGTATGGCGAGCAAACTTTGTTCTTTCTTACCAACACCCCCTGCAGAGTAGTTTTACAGCTTAGTCTGGCCAAGTGTCCCACAAAAGTGGCCCAAACAAGCTGGGGGGACCCATTTAACTCCTGTGTCTGTCAAGGAGATCAGTGATGGCCATGGTGAGCTCCTTGAAGTGAAGGTGGGGGTCAGTATTTGAGGAGCCAGTTCCAAGGAGGGCACCAGGAAGCTAAATAGGGTTGCTAGATCTTATGATTTCAATGCAAATCTTAAAATAATTTACCTAAAATCTCAGCTCTTGAAGAGAAGGGAGTCCAGTTAGCAATGTTGCCCCACCAGAGGAACATATTTGTCTCTAAATGTGATTATTGCCCTCCAGGTATATATTTGGTTGTATTTATGCAGCCTCTGGTCAGTAAGATGCTCCAAGAATTTACTTATACCTAAATCAGACGTATTTCTCAGCAGGAGGAGAAATATGTCTGATTTAGGTATAAGTAAATTCTTGGCATGGCACCAAGGCTGAGTTTTAATTATTTTTTACTTGATTGTAAAATAAATTGGCTCACTAATTATTATTTTACTTGACCAGCACATAGAAAGCGAGCTTTGCTGCTTTAATTTCCATGTGTGTTCCCTCTTCAAAATAAGTGACATGAAAATAAAAGAGTCACTGTTACAAACCTTCCTGGCAAACCTTGGCACTGAGTGGGATTTGAAATAAACAAACCGAAGACAATAGACTTCTGCTCCTCTCTCCCTGATTTTTGTTTTGTCTCCCTGCTTGGCAAGGTCCCATCTCTCCTGCAGCTGCCACTGGCTCCCTGCTGCCTGCCAGCCCCACTGCCATAGTGGTAACCCCAGCACCAGAGCCGGGTTTTGGTGTGGGGTTGGAGACTGAGCCAAAGCAGCCGGGCCGGACTTTGTGGGCTGTGCCCGGCAGGAGTATCCGGTCCAGAGGCCGGGGGCTGGAGCTGTCCCTTCCCACCCAAGATGTTGGAATGGTGGATGCCTTGCAAGGTTCCCTCTCCCAGGACAATGCCTCCAGCTACAGCACCTCCAATGGGTAAATCTACGTGGTGGGAAAAGCTGTTTCTCCAGTCCTTGTGGAAAGGAAAATAGTAATAGCTTCCCTGCAGATGAACAAGAGAAATGTAGGAAGGTGCCTGCGTGTAGGAAGGTGTCTAGGGGAGGTGAGAGAGTGTTTGTTTGCTGAGATTTTGAGAAATAATCCTTTGGATATTGCACATGACAGGCAGTAACAGGGAGAAAATCCCAAACTCCTAAGAACCCAACACTGTGTTGCTCAGCACAGTGGGGGGCTGGCCAGGAGGTGGAAAGATGTGATAAAACTTATCGACTGCTGTAACATTTTTCTGAAAGTGCATACAGTAATTCAGGGAAACACTGAACTTAGCAGACCTATTTCTCCATCTGCAGAGAAAACGAAAAAAAAGGATACAAAGCAAGTATGAAATTTGGGCTGGAGGATGTCTGTTCAGAAATTTTAGAAGGTTTGGGCTGCATGAGCTTTCACGCAACATTTCATATTGTGGGTGAAAATGATGGGGATAGGAATCAATGACCAGGCATAATTCAAAATGCAGGTTGTATGATCCACATTGACTGCATGCATCCAAAACTGCTCTAAGGAGCAGCACTTCTTGTTGGTGTGAGCCACACGTGTCACTTGCTAACCCTGCCTTTCCTCTGTCCATATTTCAGAAGCATTGCCAGTGCTGCTACCCTACACTTGTGTTTGATGTGTACAGGCAACAGGAAGGTAAGCACCTCTACTGGAGAGGGCACCCTAGCAGCCCATGTAGGTGTCATAAATGGCTAAAACTACACTGAGACTGTTGAAAGTTTTAGATTTTTTTCCTTAACTGGAATTTGAGGTTTATGTCTCTTTCTAGTTTGTTTTTTTTTTTTTTTTCCTTTTGAGCCCACTGGCTGGGTTTTTAAGAGACACACTGTAAAAACGATTGCTTTCCCTTATGTAGATGTGACTACAGGCTGCTGGAAATGTGTGCTTAGAGATACAGGACACAGATTTAACAGGGTAAGTCAGCTATGCAGGTGATGGAGAGAAGAAAAATACAAGGAGAAGAAAGAATAGACCTGGTTTCCAAAATGCTAAAGGAGAAAGAGAAATAATCTCACAGAAAATAAAAGAGAGAGGGGATGTACAGCACAGAGTGAGCCAGAAATATTTAGGAAGGAGCGGAGGACAGAGAACAAGTAAAGGAGAGATGTGTACCATGAGCACTTGGCATAGCCATGGAGAGAAGTGGAGAACTGGCAGTAGATGGAAACCAAAGGGAAGGATGAGCTATTGCACAAGGTAAGATCAGAAGAGCATAATTAAACAAAAACTGAGAAATTAGGTAGAATAGGGAGGAGTATGAAAAGAAAGGAGAAATGAGTTGAGATAGGGCAAGGACTTAAGAGGCAGTTCCATTTTCTATCCCAAAGTCCAAGTCTGGCAGCAAATCCTTACAGTGTGGCGTTTGTGTTTTAAGGGCAAGTGATCCATACACATGCAGTCCTAACTTTGCCAGCCTGCTACTTTATGGTTTGCAGTTCAGCCACTGGAAGTCTTCTATTTCCTACTGTATTTTACTAGCACCTTCAGAAACCATCCCTTCCACAAAGGATGCTCTGACCCTCCACTGCTTTGCTTCACAGCTTGCCAGGGCTCCTACCTCAGCTTTGTGCTCCTGTCACACTGCCTTCACAGGAAGCTTTAGAAATCACTAATGATGGTAGAGGGTGAGAGTTTCTCTGGTGTAATTAATGGATGTGTGAAAAAGCCTGCAGGGCTGGACAGGCTGGAGAGGTGCCAGCTACTGAGGGCCAGATCCAAATCTCAGTGGAGCCAAATTAAAAACTCCAGTACATTTTGCAGGTTTTGGATGGGGGCTCAGGTGCATAGTGGGAATGGAAAAATTCATTGGGGGCCTCCTAAATTGCATGCTTGTTCCCCAGTTAGTCTTGGATGATACCTGCAGCAAATTCTGAGTTGCAGAACTGGCGTGGAGCAGCTGGCATTTTGTAACAGTTAAAATAAGGTGCATGGAATCAGACAGCGCCCAGGCCCAGGCAGGATCCAACATTCCCACTAAAATGAGTGGTTAAGCAACACAGAGGAGCATAAGATTTCAGACTGGCTGTGTAAACTGAGAAAGCAAGACAGGCTTTGGGGAGAATTTATAGGTTGTATGTGCATGTCCCAGAACTGCTGATGGCAAAGGCCATCCCAAGTCTCCCATGTCCATCCACTCCATAGCCTCAGAAGGGGAATACTGAATCCCAGTGGGTCCATGTGAGCCTACACATGCAGCTTGGCTGGGAAAATCACACCTGCCCTTTCAGCATGACCCTGCTGCTACTCAAGGTGGGAATTGTTTATTAAGTGATATTCTTTTGTGATAATGATCCCTGTGAAAAATACCACCACCACAACAAGAACTGCAGACGTTTAGTTAGACAAAGCAGTGACCTTCCTCTCCACCTTTGCCCCTGGGACCAACTTGGGTGCCTAGTCCCTCCCATGGTAACTCCGGTATGGAGGGTTGCATCTGCTTCATTTTCTAAAAGCTACTGAGTAAACAGGGAACAGAGAAGAATTAATCTAAAGCCAGGGGGACACAAGGGCATCAGAAACAGAGTTGAAGTGTTCCATGAGGTAGGCAGTGAGAAGTTAATCAGCCCCCTTTTCCCTCGCTGCATGTTTTGGCATGTTTTTGCTTTCAAAGGGCAGCACTGAGAGTGGGACCATCTTGAAAGCCTCCCTTCGTGTGACAGTGTCTCCCTCTGCCCCGCACGTACGCACGCACCTGGGCACCATTGCTGCAACCACAGCCCGGCCTGGTGATGCCAGCACTGCTGGCAATTTGTCCTTGGCCTCAAGGCAAATGGCAGGAAGAGAGTTGGCACCGCAGCCAGAGGGGGCAGGCACCAGGGCCGAGGAGGACAAGGATGAGCAGGAAGCAGCTGGGAATACCCTGCCATGGGTGACCAGGCCTGCTCCCGAATCTGCTGTTCCTGGAATAGGGGAAGGCCCTGGCAGAGGAAGCCGACTCCTTGCAGCCCAGCTTGGCCTCCTCCTGCTCTGCACGGCCGCGCTGGGGCTGGCGCTGGCAGCTGCCGTGCGGTGTGCGTGTGCCCAGCAGTGCCACAAGCGCGCCGAGGTGACCTTCAGCGAGCCCGAGCCCGACGTCATCACCATCACGGAGCACGGGGCGGTGATGCGCTTCCGAAGGACGCGGGACAACGGCCTCGTGCTGCTGCCAGCCCAGTGCAACTGGGTCAGCCCCTCGAGCAGCACGAGCAGGACCGTGCTGCTTTAGTCCCTCTTTGTGCTGCCATGCAGGCAAACAAACCCCAAGCAGCCAGGTCAGACAGAGGTGTTAGGCAAAAGTACCTAAACTACAGCTGCTGGGGAAATTGAAGCTGATAGATTGCTCAGTGTGTTACACTTACTGCAATTAATATTGTATATCTGCTCATTAGCTGTCACTGTGGCAGTGACATACACTTCTACTGTTGCCTTAAGGGTGTAGCCAAAAATAGAAATTCTTTCTCTGCACTGTGGTATTGACTCCTGTTTAATCTCAGAAAAAAAGTTTCTAGTGTTGTATTTCTTCCTAGGAACTACAAACCCAACCATTCTCATTTAAGAGCTTACAGGTATGACTCTGTGCACTTGGTATCCCTCAGATGACAAATATTTGCCACAAGATTTCAAGTTGCAATTTGAAAATAAAAAGCAATAACTCATTAGTGGAGAACATTGATCCCAAGAATGCTGAATTGATCCATGGAGTGAAACACAGGATGGCAGACACCAGCTTTTGGGGGTGAAACATGCCTCCTCATCAGGTGCAAATGGAAGAAAATCTTTCCTGTCCATTTGCACCTGATGAAGAAGCTTGTTGAAGCCTGACCGCCAACATTTATTTAGTCTTTTACTTTGCGTCAGCTCAGTGACACTGTGCAGAAACACAGACTGAGAATACCCTTCCCAGGTCATTTTGGAGATGCCTTGCAAAGGATGCATGGAAAGTTAACAACATCCTTGTGTTCTCAGTTTGTGCAAACTTCTCTCTGACCCTGTGGTTTTCTGCAGGAGACCCCTAAAGCAACTCTTGGAAAACAGCATGATTCTGGACACCTCCTAAGAAGGAGAGGTGACAACAGCAAGGGTAAAGTTTTATTTTACTGCAGCTTTAAAAGAGCCAGAAACAGATCTGATAATGATACTCTTGAGATGTACATTTTAGAGCCTTTCAGAGAGCAGGAACTGACTCCTCTGGTGTCCTTTTCTAGAGTGGATCAGCTCAGAGCTGATCATTCCCAAGCCATGTAGTGGGGAACAAACTTACATTTTGGTGCTGCAGCCTAACTCTCAGCCCACAGCAATCCCCCTGAACCAAGCAGATACTGCCAGGACTCTGATGGTTCACCCAGCCTTGCTGGTGACAACTTCCCCTCTGTCAGGAGGGCCCTGTGGCCGTCTCCAACTGCTGCCCATCTCCATGCTGGATAGTCAGTCAAAGCCCTGCTCCCACATCCTCCCTTGCCTCACCACTGACTGCAGAGGAGACAGGTGGGACATGAGTTCTGCTCCAGCTCCAGCGTGATGCACAGAGTGCAGCTTTTGCTAACAGTGCTTCTATCAGCATTCAGAAGGAGCTGGTTTCTGACCATACTGCTGCACTATGATTTGTGCTGCACACATGGACAAGGCTTTTTCAACTCCACTTCTAGGCCTGGGCAAAAGAAATGAGTAAGAAAAGAAGTGTACTCACAAATGCAGCTTGCAGAGATGAGCTTGATGCTCTTAACCAGGGCACTTTGAAGAGAAGGGCAACTACACCATAGCCCTTTGCTGCAAAGAAAACAGGGGTAGGGCTGTTATTGAAAAGACAAATTTTGATTTAGGACTCAGAAGGATGCCAGGTAAATGGTTTTATATTCACTAATTGAGTTTATGCCCTACCTCCTAGTAAGTCTCCTGGTTTTTAAGCACACATGTAGACACTTACAATGGCATTCCTCTCCTGTGTCATGTGCCTTAGAAAGAAATCATGTTTCTGTAACCCAGTGCAGCTGAACTGTGTAGTGACTAAACCAGACTGCATTCAAGTCATTGTTAATGCAGCCAAAAAAAATCCTAATTAAATGAGAAAATAGGTCAACAAATTCTTAAATATTTAAAGAACTATCACATATTATTTAAAAAAGTTTCTTGTGATGGCATAGCTGTTTATGAATAAATTACAAATACCTGTGGCCTCTTTCACTGTTTCTCTAGGATTAATGTTACCAGACTGCTCTGGCTACAAAACCAGAACCTTCCTCTCCTCAGCTCTTTCCCCACAGCCCAGCTCTGCTTCTTTCTAGGCTGACTAGAGCAAGAGAAGGCCTCATGGAGGTGTTTGATTGGGAGAGTGGCACTTCAACACCATTCTGCCTTCTGCCAAACTCTGCTTTCTGCTAAATTGATGTGTTCCAGTATTATTAGTAGTAAGACCAGTAATGGTGAGCTCTGAGGGACACAGCTCCTCTGAATTAGTAATGAGTTTTGCTACTTTGCAGCTCTCTTGGCTGAGCCTAAAGTGCCTGTGTCTTTTTCTTGACTTCTGAATGATGTTCTGTTTGTTGTAGTTGCCATGACAGGAGGAATGGAGGTCTTATCTCTTCTTAATGCTGTAAAAAACACGAGCACTGGTTCATTTATTAAAAGGCACACCATTCAAACATCCCCATTCTTACTGACTTGCCTTATATGGAAATTAGTCTGTGCTCATGCTTGTAACAGATTTCTGAGAAAAAATGTCAGAATTAGGAAAACAAAGGCACAAACCATTCTAATATTTACTGAAGAGACAAGTGAAAGGCTTGCCTTATTTCCCTGTCCAGGTGCATGACTGGGCAGGTCACAGAAGTTCTGCTGGAACTGGGGATTTCAGTTCCTCCAGGGCAGCTCAGCCTGCAGGCACCTGTGGGCCACGCCAGGCTGGCATCCCTGAGTGAAGTGACATGGGTTTGGGTCAGAAGTACTGAAAGCAGCCAATGTATCCTGAGCCTGTCTCCCTACCAGCTAAACAGGCATCAAACAGAGTTTTGGCAAAAAAAAATGGCTGTTGCAATGCTTGAGCTATACTTACTCAAGAAAAAAAAAAAAAATTAGAAATAACAAAATGTAATGTGGAGAGGTTGCACTAAGCAAAACAGCTGATCCAAAGCTTGGACATCACAGACATTTCCAGCATTGGTTGAGTTGTAAGCAAAGTAAACAAAAAAAGCCAGACATGCACCAATTTGGCCAGGTCCAAAAAGGGTGACAAGGCTCATAGGAGAAGCCCCAGGGCCCTGTGGGCCCAGCAATCACAGTCAGCAGGGATGTGCAAGCTCAGGCTCTCCCAGATCAGTGTGGGATGCAGCTCCAGGCCTTTCAGAGATCTTGGCCAGCCCTTTTGGCACAGTTTCTGCAAATAGTCAGGACCACAAAACTAAGGAAGGCAAAGCAGCAAGGTCAGGAACCCAGAGAGTAAAACATTCAGCAATACATGTGTTATTTATTCACTCAGATTTAAATAATAATGACAAATGCCTGCAAAAAAAGCAAAGGAGAAGCTCTAACAATTTCTGCAGCATTCAGCTCCAAAAAGACAGCTGCTTGGCAGCAAAAACAAATGACAGAGTATCAGCCTGACCTGCAAAGCTGGTGAACAGCAGAACAGACCTCTCACTCCTCCTGGCAAGCTGGATCCTTCCACTGCCCCTGCCAGGCCCTTAAGGCTCATTATGTCTGGACAGCTCTACAGGGCTCCATTCCTTCCTTTGCCTTTACTTCTCTCTCCTGCCAGCTTGTCCAAGGCTAGGAGAGGGCAGAGAAGGGCTTGGGGAGTCACAACTTCCCCTGGACCAGGAGCTGCTCAGAGATCTCTCCCAGCCCCTTCCTCACACAGAACTGCTTCCCCTCCACAGGTCTTGTCTTGGCAGCCCTTTCCTCATTAGTGTGTGTGTGACTCTCTCAATAAAACATTTTGCTACATGATGTATGAAGGACCGTGTCTCAAACCACATTTTACTGTATATTTAAGTGTATGTTTTGCTGATTTACTACTGTTCTAGAGAATGTCTCCCTCCCCGAGCAGGGCAGGCCCGTAACGGATACATCAGCTCTGACTAATGATTATTAGTACATCCCAAGGTTATGTCCCACAATCAAATAATGTGTAGGAGGGAAGAGAGACTCCAGCCTGCTCGGCTGAGGACAAAGATCACAGATAGTCTCTTTCAATCTTCAGATTGCAATATCCATTACAGATTGCCACCTTCTAATGTCAAAGTATAATTTGTTGTTGAGAAAATGTGTTGCTGCTCTAAAGGTGAGTCAAAGATCAGCCTGGCTGTATATCAGCGCATGTTGATGTACATTAAGAACTGACGGCCAGGTACCAAGGACATCGGGCAGCTGGAGCAGAGGGAACGGCAGCAGACGTGACTCGCTGATCCTTCCTGTGCAAACACACGGCCCGGAGTGGGAAAATATTTAACCCAGTCGAAGTGAGGTGTCACCAGTAATTGCCAGTGTCTAAGGCAGCCCCGACGCGACGCGTCAGAGGCAGCGGCTGCCGGCAGCGGTGTCTGCCCGCGCGGCTCGGGGCAGGAATCGCGCATTCCCCGCGCTCCCGGGCGGATCCGTGCGGGCCCCCGGGATCCATGCCCAAGCATTCCCCGGGGCCGCGGGATCCGTGCCCAGGCATTCCCGGGGCCGCGGGATCCATCCCCAGGCATTCCCCGCGCTCCCGCCGGCCGCCGCCAGGGGGCAGCGTTGTCGCGGCGATGGCGGCCCCGCGGCCCGGGCCGGTCCCGGCTGGCGGGGAGCGCTGGGGCGGGGGAGGGTTTGTGATCCTTCCCTGCGCTTATCACTGGCATTTCAACTTCAATGGTTTATACTCGATCTTAGTTATCAAGCCACTAAAGAGCATACGCCGTTGTCCCAGTGCTATTTGAAATTCCCAACTGCAGTTTGTGGGGATTTTTTCTTCTGGAAATCCACTACACAAACGCTGCTGGGAAAACAATGGGCAGGGTGTAAGTTGTCTTATGTCCCCTTCTCCTGACAGCTTCCTGCTAAGGAAGAGGTTTATGACAAGAAGAAGCAAACCTCTCTCCAGGTCCAGCAGTGCCACGGGGTCTGTCTGGGCCCCATGGTCAGAGCTGAGCCCGGCTGAGCTCAAGTGACTCCAGCAGGTCACAGCCCCGGCCAGAGGAGGCTGAGGCAATGCTGTCCTGGTGGGTGATGCAACCAAAGGCTCTGAGAGGGCTGTATTTCTGCCTGGAAACGTCTGCCTGTCACTTGGCATTTGAATGAGCAGTTGGAAGCTGCTGGTAGGTGCTCCTATCACGGTAATGACTGTGACAGGCTTTTTCCATCTCTGAGGAGGAGATGGTTGTGACATTTGCTTTGACTGTGGCTTTGAAGCCACAGAGTTCCTGTGTTTGAGAAGAATTTCTTCCTAATATCTATTCTAAACTTACCTTCACTTTAAAGCCATTCCTCCTTGTCCTATTACTACTTGCCCTTGTGAAAAAAGTCCCTCTCCAGCTTTATTTTAGCCCCTCTGTTTGCAGGGCTCCCAGAACTTCCTGTTAACAGCTTGCAGGAAAACACCCTGCGTGTCATCATGGTCTCTTTGGGGAGTTCACTGCCACCCTACTCTCTGCAGCTGCTTGCCAGAAGCTCCTTCCCAAAACCACCCCCCAGAGCACATGGCTCCTGCAGACAGCATGCACGTGTCCCATCTGGTTACAGTGCAGCACCAGTCACATGTGGCAGAGATACCCAGGCAGTGTCATCCTTCCTATGCAAAGCACGGATGTGGCACAGTCCATGCTGGCCACGTCAGCCACAGCAATGCCCTCTGGGAGGCTCCCTGGCCTTGATGTCTGTAAGGGCTGCTGCTGTTCTGGGCCCACACTGACAAGGGCAGTTGTGGCACCTGTGGCACTAGGATGCAGCTTGTGTCTGTGAGACTGGCTCCTTGATTCTCCCTTCTCCCTATCTGCCATGCTTACACATCCCCCTCATCTTCCTTGACTCCTCTTTCTCTGACCTTCTCTCCTCCCTGCTCTTTTCCCCCTGAATCCAAGGTGTGTCCCACCTGTGAATGGACTTGGTGTTGCAGGTGCTGTTAACTAGCTCACCTTGGCCTTCCATGGCAATGCAGATGCAGTTTCCTGGGTCCTTCTGCTCCTACCAGGTTCTCCTCCCCAGAATGACTCCAACTCTTTCTTCAAACATCTCTGAAGTGTGGCCACCTCACACACCAATGTCCCTTTGCTACCTCTGAAATCTTTCTCTTCCTTAGGGCACTGTAGCTCCTTTCAGCTTCTCCCTGCCTTTGTGACAGTCAGAAATTTTGCTTGTCATGCTCAGGAGCTTCCCAGGTCTGCTCCATCAGCTCAGGCTTTTGCCAGGCCCTAGTCACCAGCTTGTGTGCCTCAAAGTGTCCCTCCCCAAGGTGTCTGCATGTGGCATTGTCTCCTGTCCTATTCCTAGCCTTGATGCACCAGTCTTCATCCTGTGATGGCTCTGAGCACTCTTCTGTCTGACTAGACAGTTCCAGCCCTTTAGAGTGACTCCCTTTGTGCCCAAGTGCTCTGAGGCAGCCTCCTTTTGCAGGTCCTGGACAAGGAAGTTCTTGCCTTGCCCAGGAGACCAAACTGGACTGAAAGCATGGTTAACCACAAACACAGACAACTTTATTTCAGCAACTAAGTCAACATTAGCACTTGCGTGCATGTAGAGGAGAAATGTGGGCAGGACAGAGCAGGCCTTCAGCACTGAGGCAGCCTTTGGATCAGCAGGCATTGCCTCAGCAGGAAACAGTCACGGTCCCATGCAACCTGCACTGGATCCTGTCCATTCTCCTGCTCAAACTGGAATCCCCCGTAGGTTCTTCAGAAGCTTCTGTATCTCAGTGAAGAATTCGATCAGCTTCTTGAGTGGATATGGGCAGTTATTATTCTCTTCCACTGGTGTGGGTAACGAACTTGGCTTTGGAGTGGGCATGGTTGTTGGCCATGGCTTTGGAGTGGGCAGTGTTGTTGGCCATGGATTTGGAGCAGGTGGTGCTGTTGGCCATGGCTTTGAAGTGGGCAGTGTTGTTGGCCATGGCTTTGGAGTGGGCAGTGTTGTTGGCCATGGGTTATAAGTGGTAGGTGGTCTTGTCCATGGCATCTGCGTGGTAGGTGGTCTCGTCCATGGCATCTGAGTGGTAGGTGGTCTTGTCCATGGCATCTGAGTGGTAGGTGGTCTCGTCCATGGCATCTGAGTGGTAGGTGGTCTTGTCCATGGCTTCTGAGTGGTAGGTGGTCTCGTCCATGGCATCTGAGTGGTAGGTGGTCTCGTCCATGGCTTCTGAGTGGGCCATGGGGCATTTGTAGGATGAGTCCAGGGTGGTGAGGCGGTTGGATAAGGATTCCATGACTGTGGGACCATTTCCATCTGGAGCACAATCCAGTCATAGAAGTGCCGAACAGAAGTGTATATTCCAGGCCGTTTCGCCCTGGCGCAGCCTCTGCCCCAGCTGGTTATTCCGACAACCCAGAAGAAGTCAGCGTCCTTGTCTTTGCACATGAGTGGACCCCCGCTGTCACCCTGCAGAGAACCAGAGAAGATTAAGGTGGTGTTGGGTGGTCAGCACTGGTGCTGCCTCCTTCTCTCTCACAGCCCCTGCCAGAGCTGTATTCTCAGCTGAGCAAGGCTCTGTTCAGGTGCTGGAACCTCCAGAAGCTTGGCTGGGAGTGGGTTGGGAGCCTATGAAGTCAGGCTCTCTCTCAACTCTGCACAGTGATCCTGGATGTGCAGAGGACAGTTGTTCCAGCATTGGCATCTGGATATCTAGACTGCAAAGAGCACTAGCAGGGCTTTCTGGGCAGAGTGCCAGGCCTCAGGGACAAGGGAGATCCTGGACTAGGCCCTGTACATGGGCAATGGATGGGAAGGCCCAGCAAAGGCCAGGGCTAAGAGAGTGACTGGCCAGGGAAAGCAAGGGATGGCCTGTGTCGGGGTGATGCTGCCTGTGCTGCTGGGGGCTGAGTGACGCTCCTACCTGGCAGGTGTCGATGCCACCCTCCGGGTAGCCAGCACACAAGTTGTGGGTATGGACGTCCCCCTGGTACCACTCACTGCTATTGCAGATCTGGACATTGATAAGGTGGACCTTGGCCTCCTGCAGGATATCGCTGGATTGTTGAGCTGTGAACACAGAAAGGAATGAGGACCCGGCAGTTTGCTGCCACTTTCCCCATCTGGAGGTGAACCCCTTCCCTAGGGTTTGGCTGTGCCCCTACTGAGGTGCTGGAGCTCTCGGGCCCTGTTGTCTGCTTTTAGGGAGTGGGAAGCCTTATTCTGGCCTTGGCCTCCACTGTCAGGAAGCCCAATCCATCTTCCCAGTGTATTGAGCTTGCCCTCCATTTTTGGAAACTCACATCTTGCAGTGGTAGCACCCCAGCCAGCGACATAGCAGGTATCCAGCTGTGCCACGTTCAGCGTGGCTTTGGGCACACACACCAGCTGGATGTGGGAGTTGCACTGGACAGGCTCGCTCATTTCCAGCAGTGCAATGTCGTTGCTCTGGTCAGCAGGATCGTATTCGTTGTGAATCAGCAGCCGCTTAATCAGGCGCACCTGGGCCTCAGGGCCTGGCTCTGTCAGCTGGGTGACACCGATCAGCAGGCGCATGGCGCTGATGTTCCTGAAGGCATGTGGAGAGAGGGGTGAGAGGGAGCAGAGCCTGGAGCTGTGCCAGCTCAGCAGTGACCACCCTTCTGCCCAATATTGGCCCAGTGGTCACCAGCCTTCTGCTTCCCAAGGCAGAGGAAAGCAGCACTTAGGGAGGTGGTGACTGCTCTAGCACGCCTCAGACTCTGGGAATGCCAGCTGGAGGCTGCTAGGAAGTAGTGGCATGTGCCCAGCCTTCTCCTGAGCAATTTCTCAGCTGGGCATTGCGTTGCCCAGGCACTGAGCACACTGCAGAGAAATGAGATGGGAGAAGCGTACAGCACCTGCTGATGTTGTGGGGATATCCCTGTTTCCCGCTCCTGCTTACCTGGACTCAGCAAAACAGTGAGCAGCCGTGAGGACCCACCGTGTACTGATGAGGGACCCTCCGCACAGATGCCCTGTGCCTGAAACCGAGGGATCCTGGATGCTGACAAGCCAGGGCCAGGCCCCAACCTCAGCATTTTTGCCACCCACGACGCGTGTCCTGCCTCGTTCCTCATCGGAAGTCAAGGGCCGGACTCCGCAGCTCCCTCTGCAAGTAGAAAGTCATTTCCATTCTGCTCCATGGCTTGCTGCTGCTCCAGCAGAAGCTCCCCACAAGGTGTGTGGGGCAGCACACCAGGGAAGGCCACGGGGTATGAGCCTGTCCACAAGGAACTGAGGCTTCCCTGTGGGGTTTGGGGAGCTGCGGCCTGGCCATGGAGGACGAGCAGGCCCTCTCCAGGGAGCCCCCAGTGCTGCCCAAGCTCCCTCCCCGGGCCTGGGGCCACTTACTCGCAGGTGTTCCACGTGGCCTGCACAGGCCTGCATGTGGCCAGCAGCGCGAGAAAGCACAGCAGCAGCAGCATGGCTGTGGCTGCACGAGGCTCGTGCCAGCTACAAGAGCAAGGCTCCGTGTGCCAGCACAGTCGCAGTGCTCAGAGCACCTCTGGTGATCTCAGCCCTGGGCTGATGTCACAGAGCAGCCGTTCCATGTTCCGGGCACGGCAGCCTCTGACAGGGGCACCAGGAGCAACATGGAACGGTTTGGGTTGAGATGGACCTTAGTGATCATCCAGTTCCAGTCCAGAGAAGGGACACCTACACCAGCTGCTGCTCAAAGCCCCATCCAATTGGGCCTTGAACTTTTCCAGGGATGGGACAGCCATAGCTTCTCTGGGCACCCTGTGTCCATGCCTCACCACCCTCACAGTCGAGAATTTCTTCCTAATATCTATTCTAAACCTGCTCTGTTTAGGCTTGAAACCATTCCCTCTTGTTCTATCACTATTTGTCCTTATATAAAATCCCTCTCCAGCCTTTTTGTAGGCACCTCTGCTTGCAGGATGAGGGTGTGCAGGCCCTGGGGCACAGGGAAGCACAGATCCCTCTGTCAGCAAGATGGACAATTTTGCTTTCATTCTTTAAAATATGACAATTTGACTGACTTTTCCTATCAAGTAGTACCTAAGTAAAAGTCAGTTTGGTTATGTATATGTGATATTTTGGCCTGTGTATCTAAAATGGAAAATACCTGTGTTCCTGCTCTTCAGGATGGCTTCTCAGCCACAGTCAGCACTCTCTCTGAAGTACTAAGTGCTGCCTACAAAGAACAAGGCATAGAGAAAAAACTCATGAAAGCACATGGTGTTGAGAAGCATTGAGATATATCTGATAGAATCTAGCTTTGCTTTTCATGCCAGCCCATATATTCTGAAGATCCTTAACCAACCAACCAACCAACCAGTAATCAAAATGGCATCTAAATATTAACCTGCTGATTGATACAGCTGTATACAATTAATATGTGTATATATACATATTATTCTAGTTACACCAGTGCTTGCTATTCCTTTTTTTGTTTGTTCAGACAGAGCAAGGAAAAGACACACACAAAGAGGAAAAAATGAGAAACTTGAAAAAGAGTCAAAATCTGTATTTGCAAACCAAATTAAATTTTTGGACACCTCAGTATTTAAGCACTTTCTTTTCAATCTTATTAAAAGTTCCCAGTTTTCAGAGAGTACCTGTCCTCCCAGAGTGATGGTTGCCTGATTTGTCAGTGCCAGCTGAGCATCTGCCACCATTTCTTATTTTGGGAAATATAGGCCCCATGTATTTATACTACTTCAGATTGTCAATCTCTTTTAAAGAGTTGGTGAAAGGTTTGCATTTGCATTGGTTTTACTTATCTGAGTTGTTTTCCCATTCTTATGATCACTCTTTTTCTCAGTGAGAGGTTGAATTTCTGGTGTAGTAATATCCATCCACATAAAAATGAGGGCTCAATACATTTTAAAAGGGTGAGTCATTTAATCATTGATGAAGGTACAACATTCTGAGTAAGTCTTAAAACCCCCAGAGGTCACACAGGGGTTTCTTCCTCCCCCTTTTCTTCTTCCAGCTTTTTAAAAAAATCTGTTTGTTTGTTTGCTGGTACAGCTGGATTTTTGATACAAGGTAGCTAAATTTTATGTATGGAAAATACTGAAAAATAACTGCATTCAATGCTTGAGCAGACCTAATGATTCTAAACACATATTTTCCTGTGAAAATTAATGGTGTCCCAGAATGTGAAATTGTGCTGGTTTGCAAGACTTGGCAAATTTATACTGCATTATTTTAGTGACAAACAGGAGAAATTAAAAGGATGTGGGTAGTTTTTTGTTGTTGTTTAGGGGAATTTTTTTGTTTGGTTGGTTTTGGGTTGTGGGGTGTTTTTTGGGGGTGTTTGGTGGTGGTTTGGGTTTTTTTCGGGTGTTTTTTTTGTTGTTTTTCCCTTTAAGATGGATAGGGCAGTCAACACATTTGGAGAAATCTCATACAATGTTAATTGAGTAATATCAGCTAGAACCACAACTTCTGCTGGCACAAGGGTCATCTAGAAAGTTCTCTTTTTGGTAAAGATGCTGAACAAATAAATATTTGAATGGGATATATGCCTCATGCTGATTTGAAACTTGCTAGAGAAATACAGACTTCGGATAAACTACATTTTTCCTGTCTTCTAATTTCAGCCAGTAGCAGCATCCTCTGTATGTGGGTACAAACACTGGTAACTAGGACAGATGTTAAGTACATATTAGTATTTGTTAATTCATATTTTTGGGTATTATGTCTTGCAATTAGTTGAGACATGTTTCAACTCTAAATCAATTCCCATACAACAACAACAAAGAAATAATGAAGGGTACTTAAAAACTGGTTGGAAGTGGGTGATTAGGCTCTTCCATTAATAAGGAAAAAATCAGATGATGGAATGTGTGCTGCAGAAGCACCAGTGATTGCACCAAATGAGCTCAAATCAACAAAAAGCTAATTAAGTGAACATAATAATTACCTACAATGTATTCTTGAAAGATAGGAGGGCACAAAGTATCTACAACTCCCAGAACAGAGGGAACTGAAACAGGGGAAGATGCTGGAATATTCCAGGACCTGGATAGGGCCCTGGGCCAGGACTGACACACAGACAGACGCACAGACACAAAGGGTGTCCAAGTTGAAGGTGATCAAGTCCACTGTCAGCTCTGGCTTCTCAGGAGACTTGTGGTGCTCCATAATGCTGGGGAGGGATAAATAACTGATCCACTCATTAACACAAACCAGTTACCTCCAGTCTCCAGGTGTGCTTGAGTTCCCTAGAAACTAGGAATCCACACTTACCAAGAATCCATGCCTGCCAGCCCTCTCATTTTCCAAACTGCAAAAAACCAAACAATAATAAGGCCCAGGACAACCATCAGTCCAAATTTTTCACTTCAAGTCAAAGCACTGATTTGACTTTTGATTTCTAAAGGACAACTATCATGGCTTTTAAGCAATAAACTGCAGAAGAGATGAATAGTACACTTAGGATCTGCATGATTTATTTGGCAAAGACTATTAGCTTCTTCTGGAGAAAATCAATAATCTCATCTGTTTGTCAGTGGGAATTTAATGTAGGCTAAAAAGTCACTGAGAGTTTTATTCAGATGGAATTCTGCTCAAAACAGAACAAAAAAGATGAGTTTGAGAAAAATGCTTAATAAAGTCTTTAAATGAAAACTACTCAAAACTTGCACGTTCATCAGAAGAACATAACTTACTCAGCATTGCTGTACCAGAATCGGGCAGCAAGTTTTAAAAAGGAACTTTTTTCTCTTTCTTTACAGTCATAATTTATAACAGCTGAATTACTGGCTATAAATACTCTTTTCTTTCTACTAATGTATTATGCTTCTGGGATTATTCAGAGCAATATTTTGTTACTAAGAAAATAAGCTCCTAAACTGAGGCTTCTGGAAAAATAAATAAAAACACATTCAAAGTAGCATCTATTCAAAGACTATCACTGTGCCTTCTTAACATACTAAATCTTATTTTCACTAGTATTAAAAAATATTGAAATTCCTTACTAAATTTATTTTTTAAACATAGGAAGCTGCTGCTTGCCATATACTGGAGCATATTTATGTATATACCAAAATTCAAGGTTCTTATTCAATTGAAATATAAAAATTCAAATGGGATGAGTTAGCAGAGGGAGTTTGCTGTTGAAAGCAGAGAGTTAGAGAAGCAAAATACATTCTTAAAAATATGTGATCAAATTATGGAACATAGAGGAAAATTAATTAATATACATAATGATACACATGGAAGAGTTTTTCCTCACACACTATGCACCTTACTTTAAAACAAAACAAAAAAATCCCTACCAAAAAGTCGTCTGAAAAACGATATGAGTAAGATTTGAATTTTGTTGATTTTTTTGATATTGCCCTGATAGATAACTACCATGAGGCTATTTGGGACACTGATATGTGATAGTGCAGGTCCGTACAGCTCTTTGTGCCTTTTCTAATCAGAGACATTACACATTTTGTGGCACAAACAGGCGCTACCTAATCGCAAACACAAGTTGGGCTCCGCTGACTGCGGCGCTTCTGTTCTGCTCCCTGACTCACACAAAATCTCACATATCACAATTCCCCTGGGTTTTTACACCTGCAGAGGCCAGAGGGAGGAAGTTTGTGAGCACAGAAGCACAGTTCTGTGGGGTTTGGCTCTGGCTCCGGGAGAGATCCATACTCAATGCTCACAGCCAGCCAGGCTGGAAAGATACAGGCTTCTCACATTAACACTCCGTGAGCTGCAGCAAACACAGTTACCAGATTAGCTGGCTCCAATTGTGTCATACTCTTATTTTTAGCACCCTATTATGCCTCTGGGATATATTTTATTTATCAGGGAATTGGACCAAATGAACAGATGTTGTAGCTGTTTTCTAAAAAATGGCTTAATGCAACTTGCTGTGAGGTACCTGAAAGACTGTATGTTTTGGGGAAGGGGCACAGTGAATGTGTGAGGCAAATATAGCAGTCCTGAGCCACTTCTGGGAAATTACAGTTAATTTTTTCAGGCAAACAGAGACCTAAAATAAATCAAAAAGGGGGTTTTTGTAATTTTTAGGAAGAAAAATAGAGGTTCTCCCAACATTTCTCTAATTTGAAGCAATATTTGAAGCATTATTGCTTCTCGAATTTGAAGCAATAAACAGAACAAGCAAGAATTTGCTGGAGAACTTGGCAAAATATGCCAAATGCAGTTTGGGCTTGCCCAAAGGACTGACAGTGACTCTAATGGATGCAGCAGTGAGCTTCATGTGGGTGTTCCCTTCCAGGGGAGCTGCAAGTCCCAACAAAGAACACAAGAACTGTAATTTGCATGGGTTAAGTTGTTCAGTGTCAGCACAAAAAGCTGAGTTCTGCTTCCTCAAGCATCATCTTGGAAAGCTGCCCTGGTTTCCTGGCTACAGGACAGGGTCTCTAAGAGAGCTTGGAGAACAGATGAGAGCATCATCTTGATGATGACACCAGGTTCAGTTAGGGACAGCTAACTGGGAGAAGCTAAAATTTTTTAAAAAAGGGAAAAAGACATTTTATCACTTACTTCATCAAGCAGTGTTGACAAGAAGTGGCAAAACTACACAGGGAAGGCACTGGGAAATAAAACAATTTTGTGACATCTTGGGTATGGGCTGTGCAGCAGAGAAAGGATAGAAACAGGGAAAGACTGCGGTCACAATGCTAAAGAACAGAGGGAGCACAGAACTGCAAAAGCTTTTGTCAATAGAATTTCATACCCAATTATTGTCACAGGAGTCTCAAATTTTATTTCCTGCATTTCTCCTGGCAGAATGCCAATTCTCACATGACCTCCACAATTTTTTTAATCCTATCAATGAAATTGTCTTTCCTTCAATTTCCTTTCAGTTTTATTCTTTCCTTCAATTACTTTTCCTTTCCAATTTCTTGCCTTTCCAGACAGCTGATTTCCCTTAGAAGTTTGAGTTGTTTAATAAGAAAACTGACTATGAATAGTAAGTTTTCTCTTACAGAGATGAACCAGCACCAGCATGTCAACATCTGCAAATCTTCAATTTTGTGACTATTATACTAGATGTAGCCCTTCCACACAGGATGCTACCCAGAGGCTTTTTCCCTTTTTCTTACCTGGGTGACAAGTTGTTGTGCCAGGTGGCAGTTTTGAACCCAGGCAAAGAGCAGATGAGGTGGAAGAGTACGGGATCCTTAGGAGATGCACGGCCCCTTCCATGGGCTGCAGCTGCTGCCTGTGGGCTGTCCCTTCGAGCATGGATCCCAATCTGATCCCAATATCACACCTTTTCTGGCTGGAGCCAGTCAAAGTTCATCTGAACCTACCAGGCAGCCCAGGAATTCACAGGTTATTTTGTTATTTAACAAATCCAGGTGTTCCTACCAGCTCAGCAGGGTTCTTTTCTGCATAATAATTCCAAAAGCCTTTGATTTACCTGCCCTCCCTGCCCCTGACTATGATCAGAAGGGTAGGTGGCAGGGAGCAAAGCCTGATTCAGCAGCAGCTATTGCTCATTTTCTTGTCACTCTATAGGTCACTGGCTGGCAGAAATCTCTGTACAAATGCATCTAAAAATATTTTGAAAACTTGGCCTCCTCTGATGAGCAAATTAAGTGGTGACTCACGCTCCCCTCAGCTCCAGACTCGATTACTGCAATCTGGGGGGCTGAGAAGCCGATGCTCCACCGAGACTGCAATTTGCTTAGGGGAGCAGCCGAGAGGCCTCACTGGCATTCATTGTTCCCAACACATCTCTCTTGTCCTTTTAATCACTAATAAATTTAATTCCACTTCTCACTGAAGATGTCACTCTCCACCTTTGTGGCAAGAGGAACAATCCAGAGGCTGCTTTCATGACCTCTGCTGCAGCTTTAGATGCCGGCACAAAGCAGACTTGCCTGGAGCAATGCCTCCAACCTGCATTTCCCAGCATTGCTTTTCTAGTCCTTCACAGCTTGTCCATGCAATTCCAGAAGATTCCTTACCGTCCTGCAGGGTGCTCTCTGTTGAATGAGAATTTTACAGGAACAGGACACATCAGCTTGGAGGAATTTAAGTCAAAATGCCTCCTCATAGAAGCCTCAGTCTAATGATCACGAGCAATAGCGTGGTTGTAGCAAGAAAATGGCAAAGAGGAGACCACATCCCTCATCCCTCTCCTGACATTGTTCTGACAGGATGCTGTAAGTTTTGGTCTGGGAGACTGGAGCTTCCCCACGGAAATAGGAACAAAAGATATTTGGTTTGTAAGATGCTGGAAAGAGCAGGCCATCAAATCTAAAGTAAAATACTCTTCATTTAGTCTCATCATGTGCTACATTATCCCCGAGCTTTGTTAGAACGATGGCAGGGCTCTTCAAACAGCTTCCCTGGGGAGACTGCTCTGCAGCTTAACAACCTTGCACTGGAGATGTGCAAGTGTAACCAAGGGCAGAATTTAGTCTCTTGTCTATTTAACGTGTTTGCTAGGGACTGCCTGTGTTCCTGGCACTTTATAATAATAGTAATATAAATGCATTTGGATTATTACCAAATGGAGAAACTATGATTTAGCCCTTTACTGTGTTGTAATTCCCAAATGCATCAACATCTATTTAAGTGCAAAACAGTCTACAGTTTACAAATACAAAGCTGCGATTGTCTGCTTTAAGGGTTCTGTATGAGATTATGATTCAATACAAAACACAATTCAGTGTCTGAAATTTCATTTTTAATGGCAGAATAACATCAAAAAAAAAAGTAGCTCTTTCTCCATATGCAGTCTTGCAAAAAAATGTATCCCAGGGACTTGGCCCTTTCTAGTCATTTCTACATATATAACTGCTCATCTCTTATGCACGTATGCACTCGCACATAAATCAATGTGCTTGCAGACAGACCATATTTCATCTTGCCTTCTAACCTCCCGCTGTCAAGATATTTCCACAAAAAATGTAACAAATAAAACTAACAGCTCCTTTTTCCTTGACTGCCAGAGCAATGTAGGGGACTACTTCTCTACAAGCAAGCTCCTTCTGCTGTGTGAACAAGCAGCTTCTGCTCAGACTGACTTTCTACCACACAGCCTGCTCACACTAACTAAAGGATCAACGAGAAAAAACACAACCACATTTTTGATTTTAACTACAGGGAAAATTGTTTATCTTGATAAGGTACTGGAGTTATCAAAAGCTGTTCAATTTAATGCACAAAGAGGGAAATAAAATGTTTCAGTAATTCAACACAAAGTGCTAACATTGCCCATGACCTCTGAAGTGCTGTTTTATTGTTTGGGTGGGTTTTTTTCCTCTGCTCTCACTGGATGGGATTATAGAGAAGCAGAAATAGAAAGTATTGATGATCCAGAGAATCTTCATGATGTAACATGGGCAAAGTTCTCATTTGCCATCAGTTTTGCCTGATTATGTTCAATATCAGTTATAAAGTTTTATTTAAAAGAGTTGTTCTAACCCTTTACTGAAAAACTGTTTAGGTTCAATGAATTAATTTTAAATTGATGACAATTAGCAGCATTCTTAGGACTTTCTTTCCCCAAGTTCATAAAGTATTTCCAGACAGGCTTTTGTTTTAAAAAACAAGCAAAAAGTTTAAAAGCTCACCCACAAAAGAATAAAACAGACAACAGAGGTAAAAATGTGACCTAAAGGATAAATAATTTTATCTTGTTTTCCTTTTAACAAAATTGAATTCAAAACCATTCTGTTTATTAAAGACATATAGCAAGTCATAAAACAAACATTTTAACAGTCTTAACAGAATTGATGTGCACAATTCAGTTTCATTAAGTATGAATTCAAAATATCTATTTCAGTTTAGCTTGATGTTCCCTTTAGACCAACACCTCCAACACTCATACACAATATTTAAGCTGCCCCAAAGCAATCAACAAGGACTTTGTAAAGAGACTAACAAAACTACATTGTAAAACAATTTGAAATAGTCCTAAATGTTGAAAAAAAACCCCAAAAACAAAGGATGTGTTCAATGGAATCTAAGCAGGTTGTTGGAAGTACTGAAAGGCAGAGATTCAGTACACAGAGGTAGCTCAGTAAGGGTACTTGCAGTGTTCTGATTATTTAGCATTGACACAACCACAGTCAGCTGCTGTCTGCTTGAACCCCTGCTATGTATTTTGAAAAGGGAACATTGCCTCTGGGCTGTTGTCTCGCCATTCAAAACCAACAGAAAGAGTCATTGATTTCACTGGGATTGGGACTAAGACTTTATATTCTCTGGAAATTCAGGTTTATGGAAGTAGAACATGAAGAAACTGTCCTGAGTCTGGACACTGTCCCCTGCTACAAGCAGAGTTTTAAACCCAGAGCAATTTTTCCCCATATGGAACCAGTCACCACTTAGAATGCTTAAGGAAGTGGAACCTTGAATTTGGCCCAGGAACTCTCCATTTCCTAGCAGGCCTGTTTGTGGATCTGCCTGTGCTACCTGGGGATGCACTGATCAAACTGTGAACTCACTGCCCAGTGGGAAGAGAGCAGAGCCCTGGGGACATGGGCAGTGTCCCTCAGCCTCTTGCCTACTCAGGGAGAGCTTGATCCCCCCTCCAGGGAAGGAAAGAAGGTGGCATGTGCCACCTCCCACACCTTTGTCACATGGTCCTTTTACTGGTGTGCCAGTTGTGAGCAGGGTGATGCTGTCAGCTCACAGAGATGGCAACAGGGAGTGGCCATCACATAAAGCACCAAGGATTGGTACCAGATTACTTTTTTCCTCTTGTTCACAGGACAGGAAGTAACAGACTAGGTAAACCAAGCACATTTTTTGTTTTTCAGTAAGGCAAAAGGATATGAATTTCACATGCCTATTGTCACATAGATCTTCAGCTTGTGTAAAGGCTTACAGCCTTATCAGAGCTCTTATCACCTACGTTTGCTTATCACCTACAGACTTGCTGCAAGGTGTTTGCACTCAGCCACACCTTTAGGTGCAATGTTCACCATGACACACATGGAAGCTCTGCATTTATATTGATCCCACATTGACCTATTCCTTTCCTTACTCAATATTTTAATGAGCACAATTGCCAGCACAGTTTTTGCAGAGGGGTACAGCCCCCAGTCTGGACTAGAGCAGGTTTCTGAAATCTTCATCTCCCAGACAAGATGTAGTGCTGGATGCATTCTTAAATATATGCCTGCATTCCTTTCTCTTCAATGCCTAGAAATAGTATTTTGTATTCTTTTTTCACCTAAGTTTATTAGAAAGAGTAATATTATTTTTTAAAAAGTTGTGATTGATTGTCAAATGAGCTAAGATAGTGTTTCTGTTACTATAAGGATCCTTTTAATTAGCAAAAAAATAATAAATTGTCAACTTTCTTGTCCTCATAAGCTACTCTTCATTACCAATGCAGTAATAGAGAAAACACAGCTTGGCTTATTACAATAAAGGCTCTGTTTCAGCATCCTAAATTCTCTGTGCAGGTCGCTGTGCATTGCACAGGGGGAAGGCGAAGAAAAAAAAGAAAACCAAAAATTCATGTTCCTCAGGGGTAAATGATAAAAAGATCTCCTAGCTGCAAACACAAATACTTCACTCATAACCCAAGCACCAGACCATTTCTTTGAAGAAGCTTATGAGGCATTTAAGATATACAATGGCACAATATCATACAATGGAATTGAAAGAATTTTCTTGAGATACCATTAACTTTGAAGGAATGTCTAGACAACTGTGTCAACAAATGCAAATAATTCATGCTTTTCAGCTTCTATCCATTGGATGGCCCCATGCTGAGTATACACAAACTCAGAAGAAAAAGGCATGTCACAGTCATATGACTAGGGAGTGTAACAGAGTCACACAGAAATTCAAGTCAATCTCAGAAAAAAACCTTCAGATAGCTCTTCCCCAAGAGAAGAGCTGGTAAGCCAGCAGTGGGATAGGCTCCTGGTCATTTTGGCTAGTTTAAAACAGAGACTTGCTGCTGGTGCACCCTGGCTTCAAAGCAGGGGCAATGGAAGAACCAGCTGTCAGTCGTGACCATTCACTCAGTTAGAAAAATAAACTAATGGACTTCAAAATACTGTACAACCTCTTGCAGCAACCAACAAAGTGGCTTCTGAAAACAATGCTTTTGCCAAAATGCATCTGTAAGGCACTTAACAGGTATCTTTTAATATATATATATATATATATATATAGATATATATAAAAAAATAAAATATGCACTAAAGCAACATTCACAAAACCCAGCTGTGTCAATTGTCCGTGTGTACAGTATAGTACATATATACATTCACTGTGACACAGGCCATCTCCACCATTATACCTTCACGGGTGCTTTGGGCTGCCTGGTTAATTTCTGTGCCTGTGAACAGGAAACAAAACAGTCACTTTTTTATACCTTTAAAGACAAGCAACAGCACAAGGTAAGAGTCTCATTTATAAAGGGCAACACAACACTGTGTGTACTGATCGGCTGAGAGAGGAGTCAGCGTGCAGCTGACAGGCTGTGGGCTCTGAGATGATGTTTGTGTCTCATAGCCCATCACAACCTCCCCTTACACAGAGAGCCTTACAGAGGAACCCCAAGGACCACGGCTACAGTGCCTGTGAAGGAAGCAGAGCTGGGTCTCAGGTGCCTTTTACAAAGTGACCATTTGGACCCCACTCAAACCACTTGTGGCACAGAAGAAAGAGCTTCAGACCCACTTAAGGAAAGACAGTGAAGAAAATGTGTGCCAACACCTTTGTGTGCCTGGCTTCCTTCCACATGGCTCAAAGCCTGCTCAGAGGATAATCACTGCTGCAGTGGTGGATGTCATGCACCTTTGATGTTTATACCCTCCTTTCTGAGAAAAGGTAAGAAATAGCCAAAGTCCATCAGTCCAGAGGTGATCTTATGCCAGGGGACACCTGACATCTTTGTAGCTCCATTGTTGCTGAGGAAGAAAGAAACCCCTTTCTTTTTTGACAGCAGGGTCCAGCTCTGTGTTCCTCACAGGGCTGGCCAATTATGGTGGCTGAGATATTTATTCAGTGTGTGACAAAAGTTCAGCTCAGTGCTCATGCTTCCATTTTGGTAGGAAGCAGCCTCTCTAAGTAAGGAGACAAACATGATAGGCTCAGAAAGCATTGGGTTTTCAGCTGCTTCTGTGCAGCAGTGTGGGTACTGGAAGGGTGCTGGCTCTTGGTGTGCTCAGCAGCAAAAAACAGCTCAGTGCCTTCTTAGATGGGACAAATTGGCCCAGGTGAGAGGAATTTAGACAAATTAGCAAATTGCTGAAATTTGGAACCTCTCTTTTTCTGAAGGAAGTCTTTTGGGTGAAGAGCCCTGACAGACTGGCATTTGTCTGAGTTCTTGTTTCCAGCGGGTTGGCTAAACAAGCAATTTTCAGTCTGAGAAATGCCTGATGGGGCTTCTTATTGTAGATATTAACCTTTAATATTGTACACTTAAAGCTTGTAAGCACTGCTTGAAAATCACTCCAGCACAAATGTAAACCCTTAAAAAAATCCCAAACCTTTAAAAATAAATGGGATATATTCCCCTCAGAAACACCAGCATTTAACTATTGTTAAATCCAGCCCTTTGAGATTAGACTTTTGGATGTTATTCAGCAAGAGACTTTGGAAAGAGAGACATTATTCCACACTTTGTTTGGGGAAACAATTTTTTAACTTTGTAGTTTGGCAGATTCTGCTGCCATATTTACAAAGTAGAAATACCTTAGTGTAGATGAACCTCTAAATATTTAAATTCAATTTCATACAACCGATCACATGTACTATCATAATTAAGTAAGAATGTCACTGCAGTTGAGTATGTGACTGGATAACTGCCTCCCCCTGCAAGAGAGATGCCAGAATGAAGCAAAGGTGTTTGTAGAAAATAAACATCAAGGGTGATGATGACATGTTTATTTTCAAAGCAGGAGACCATTATCCAGTCTCAACATTCACTTCTATTATACTTATTGCAACTGTACCAGAGCCAACCTCATTGATTTTTTTCAAAGAGTAATTAAAATAACATTTGTGAATAATACAGAAGACCAACTGAAGAAGCTGCAGCAACAGAACAACAATCCCCCAAAGTGGTTCTACAGTGGCATTACAGTCTGCTTAGCACAGGAGGTTTATTTGATGCTTAATGAATAAGAAACTAGTGCTGGTGAACTGTAAATCTCTCCAGTACTACTTGACTGTTCTGATGCTCTGTTTAAAGGCTGTTTTAATTTGCAGCAGCTGACAGCAGCCCCTAAAGGCCATTACTGCCCTGAGAATCAGGGAGGTCTGGATGAGCTCCAGCCCCACTCCTGAGATGCTGAAAAGAAGTCAGCATTGCAGGGATTGTTCTGTCACCAGCAGCATAAACTTCAGGCTGTCTTTCTACAGGAATAGCATGGAATTTTCTTTATACCACAGGTAAAGTCTCCTGATAATTTCTGATTAAAAGAAAAGCCCTGATTTTCAGACTGATGGATAATTGCCACTGGATTCTCAGATTTTCATTTTCAGATACTCAGACCAGTATATATTAACCAGGTCTGATTTCTGAACACAGTTTCTGAAAACTGAGAATTTTCCTGCTTTTTACAGTTCAGATAACACATGAAAATCACTGATTTGGGATTTTAGCATTCAAGACAGCAAGGTTAGTTTAGTGAAGCTGTAAAATGACAGCCACTGGGTTTTGCTGAAAATTGGAAATATGAGTGTTAGCAATAAAATTTCTCCACTGCTAAATGGCAAATGCAGGGTGCTGATGGAGCTGCTCAGTAGTTCTCAACCCTCACTGAAAATGGCTGCCAAAGGTTGCTTCAGTTGCTGCAGCTTCTTGATCTTTATTATCTCAGAACATTAAAAGACAGCATTAAATCTGATCTCATGGACTAGCTTTTGCAGGGTGGTTATTCTGAGAATCTGACTAAAACCACTGCAATCTTCTCACATAGATGACAGAATGGCTGTCAGATGTCAATACCTTCAATTTGTACCGAAATATACATAATTTGATTCAGTGATGTTGATTCCAAACCCTCTGGGTTATAGTCTATAATCCTACAAGTTATCCCATGCTTAAATTTTGGCATGAAGTGGGATGACCCAGACTGCTGTAGATTTCTTGCTATTGTAAGGAGTAACACAAATGGGCAGGAAGGGGAAAAAAAGTTTTCATTCTGCTTCCATCCAGTTCAGAAAGTGTCCTTATTTTACCTCATTTCCCCAGCTCCCATGCCAGCCAACACATCTTTGTCACTTCTCCATAAAGAAGATCCAAAGCTGTGATTATTAAGCAGCTAATGGATGGAGACATTCTTATGGGGCATATTCTGAATTCATAATTTGAATTAATTTGTAACTTGAATTAACTGTAGAGGTCTAACTTCATGCTTTGAACTTTTTCAGAGTCTCTTGAATCCCCTTTTCAAGCAGGATAAAGTTCTGCACTTTTATTTTGATACTGCTGTGTTTATCATTGTTGTAGAGGAAGCAAGGAAATAGAAAAATCCCAACCACAGAAGGAACCCCAGGAGTTTAGGACATGTGTTTTGGTATTTTTTCCCTCACAGTACACTTGCCATTATAAATCAAATCCAGCAATCCTTACCTTTTGCCTAGAAACCATCCAGGATTTTATTGTTGGTACCAACAGACTGCCAAGAAGGATCTGAGCAGGATGATAGATGAGCAAAGGGACGGAAATTAAGGACAGGTATTCATAACCTGCAAATACTATTTTCAGCATGGGAATCCCTGCAGGCAGAAAAACAGGAGACAGACTCTCACCTCAGACTTTGAGCTCCAGATAAAAGCAAAACATTTTATATTGTACTGACATTTCACAATAATAAAAAAAAAAGAAATCCCAAAATGAGCTGAAATGTTTTATATATTAAAAAGTCAACCCAAATGAGCAAGAGCATGAATACAAAAAATACATGGCAGAGAAAGTTCTGTGGCAGAAAGGGTGGAGTAGGGAATGCCATAAAAGATCTTTTCTAATGATGCTAATATTGCAGTAAATAAAAACTGCTGCTGAAAACTTGCTATAGCAGAATGTACTGTATATTATGACTGTTCAGCTGCTGACCACAGCTCTGTACTGCTTCTTTACTATCTCCTCTCACTGGGCTGTTCTGTGCTCACATGATTGTCCTCCATCCAACCTGCCCAACTCCTGCTTGTAACCTTTGCAACCGTTCTTTGGTCTGTTCTCCACTGGAAGAGGGTCATGTTTTGCTTGTACATTCCCTCCAGTTGGTGAGCATCCAAATGAGAGCCTTCCTTGCTTTGACTGATCCATGAGACAAAAGATTCAGTCAGCTGGGTGAGCAATGTGAAGTGAACCTGCCCACAAAGAGTTGGGCAGCAGCTGGAGTACAGAAGTTGCTAGATGCTGGAAGAAGTGAGTGCTAAGATCTAGAGATGGGCCATTTTTTCCAAGAGCTGGAATTTTCACTCAGCAGTGCTAATTCTATCAGATATCTCTGTGCACAATCTTCCTGCTTGATGATGTGATATGTAAAAATAAGTTTTATTCACTTCTGCAGTAATGAAACCAATTATGCCTACTTTGTACATATTACTGTTCAAAACTACCTGTTTAAATCTTGGAACTTTGCTAGCATGCTCCACAAAGTGCAGGTGTGGACAAAACCTGCAACCAGCTCTGTCTTGCCTGACCAGATATTTGCACAGCTGCCAACAAGAGCAGCTGTGATGCCTCAGGAGCCTCCTGAGAATGCACCTTATTTTGTCGCTCATCTTAAATGTCACTCTAGGAGTCCTCTGCCAGCACCAGCCTTGACGTGAAGCAGACTGCACACGCTTTTCACAGAGCTCATCTGAGTGTCTCACAGAATCACAGAGAGCTCTGGGTTGGAAGGGACCTCAGGACCATCTTGTTCCAGCCCCTTGCCACAGAGACACCTTCCTTGGAGCAACCTTCCACCAGACCAGGTTGCTCCAATCCCCATCCAGCCTGGCTCTGCTTTGTCTCCTTTCCCAGGAATGGCAAAACATTGAGGTTTGTGCCACACACCCTCCAGTTCCCCAGGAGGAGATGCCTCAGATCAGCCAAACCTGTCATATTTATGGAAACTTTTCTTTATATCTTGGATAAACTCCCATTCTCAACGTCACTTCAGGCTTTCTTTAATAACCTTGACCACTCCCTATGTGAGCAAACAGCTTATTTGTTGAATATTACCACTTCACCAGTACCACACATTGATGTATGTCTGGGCTTGCTGAAATCTTCATGATGCTTCACAGCACCATTTCTTGTAATTATTATTATTATCATTATCATTATTATTATTATTATCTTCAACACATTACACCACTAAAATCTCATGCCTGTGCTAGTAGTCTTTACCTATGTGTATATTTGCAGGGATGGATTAAATCAAATAAATAAAGGCTTGCATGCTTTATTTCAGTATTATAATTGCCTTCAAAACAACATCATAGACCTATCACACAGTTGCTTATTATTAACACTAATTTCTGGGGCTTGGGAATAAATAATATTTAGATAGAAATTAAATGGGCATTTGCATTATATTAAGGCACGTAATTTACCCCAAATGCCCATCATACTGTTTTTGTAAAGAGATAAAGGTTTTATTGCCTGTTTCCACATCTCAACTTGACCCTCGTGGGTCCTTTTCTATTTTCTAATCACAGAAAAATACACTAGAGTCCCAAGATATGAACATGCTGTATTTCTGTTTGTTAGACAGTACCTGGTGTTTTGGTAGTGCAATTTCATCCACAGATCCAAAAACATTTTAGAAAGCTGAAGAGGGCTCCTACAGAGAATCAGAAACACTACAATGACTAGCCTAAGATGACACAGAAACTAATGGCACAGACGTGAACAGAATGCATCCAAAGTGACTGAGACATGCTTTAGATAACTGTACATTTTCTGAAAGAAATAAATGAAATTCCAGCTTAAAAGGTAAATTCTCTAGAGGAAAACTATTTCTGTAAACTAGGAAAAGAAAATTAAAGTTGTCAAAGAGAAATACAAAGTACTACAATTAGCGTGACAATATAATTAGATCACTGGGTAGAAAGAGGTTCTTAATTCACAGCTTGTTTAAATACATGTCACAACAACATTTCCTGGAAGCTACTAATGTGCAATTAAAGTTCCTATTATTTACCAGGAAATGCTAACTGATGAGAAGAGGGAATAATAATAATTTTTACAGGTAAGGACTAGTCTATTGGAAAGAAAAGAAACCCACCCTTGTTGCCTTTTCATGCACTTTCTGATCTTTATAATTCTAACTTTGCCAGTATGCAACTCTCAGAAAATATTTCGTGACAGCGATCCCCATAGTGTAGTCCCAAATGCTTGTGTTAGTGACATTACCACAAAGCTAAACTAAACAGCATGAGTGGTATTTATTTTTAAAAATGCCATCTAAACATTTTAGTAGCAATATGTAGCAGCTGCAAGCATCAGTATGACTGCTAATGTTTTCCAAACATATAAAACCCATGCAAATATCTAATTAAGGAAAACATGCTCTAATAGTTACTTCTACCTCTTTTAAAATGAACACAAAAACAACTACATTTTTCTCATCTATCTATCTATCTATCTATCTATCTATCTATCTATCTATCTATCTATCTATCTATAAACACTTGGGAGAAAAACAAGCACTGAAGGCTCATGCCAAAACACTTCTTCATGCTGCTGTGGTTTATGGAGTTAGAAGCTTCCAGCAATCTGGTTCAACTCTCTGCCAAAGACCCTCACTCACTAAATATCAGGAGACCTGAATAACAAAGTTGTCTTCAGTTGTCTTCTGTGCTTTGGTGCTAAGTTGGTCAGCTTTGCTCAAAGTGGGGCTTCAACAAGCTTCCCATCTTCCTCCAAAGACCGGAGTGGGATGAGACAGCAGCACCCCACCTGACTAGAACTACAGAGAGCTGCAGCAGAAGGGAGAAACACCAGACTGTTCTACAGGTATCCCTTTCAAACAAGATCATTGGTATTCCCAGCTTTTTACCCCAAATTTCCCTCTTCCCCTTTGTTTGGGTATGTTTCTCCTATCAGTGCTCCCCCATGTTCCCATCTTCCTCCTTGCTCTTTGGCCCTGGCGTTCAGAGGCTCTTTTTCTGTTTGTGTTTTCTCCCTTCCTCCTTTTCCCTCCTCCACTCCCATGCTTTCAGCCTCCAAGGGTTTGCTTCCCAAGACCTTTGATTCTTGTCATTGCAGCCATATAAGTTTCGGGTACTTCCACTAGAATCACTCAGCTCCACTAAGGGCAAGGGCACCAACATCACAGTCCCACTGCAGCTGAGAGAAGTCAGGTCTGTAACAGGGAGCACATTGCAGTTTTCTCCCTTTTTTGTGTCCTCACTCAGCTCTTCTTTTTCCACATTAAGCACTTTGCAAACCTGAGGAAAGCAAAGGAAACTTTATCCCTGACCTTCAACAGCAGCAAGGAGGAGTGAGAGCACTGCTCTTGCAGCTCTCCATTGCTCCAGGGTGTTCCAGCTTGGCTCCAAGGCTGTGGATTATCAGCCCTGGCCAAAGGCCACTGCTTCTCTAATAACCTGCTCAACTGAAAGCTACTTAATCCTTCCCCCAGTCTGCACCCAGTATAGCCTCCCACATCCTCTCCTTTCCCCTTTGCTATTTTCACATTTCCTAAAAGGCCCATGAAAATATTATGCTGCACTTCACTACATTTAGTTAACTGTAAAATAATAATAATAAAAAACCCTAAAAGATTTGAAGGTATTTTAAAGATAATTTAAATATAGGACTCTTTTCATCTAGCTATCACTGCAGTAATATAAATGAAGCAAATTAATTTTAATGCTCCAAGGTTCTGATTCTGTGTCACTGTCACTGACAGGATCCAACTAGACTTTATGAGATGGCATTTGACTTTATGGAAGTGAGCACTATGCACGCATTTACAATTTTACAGGGACTTTAAGCTGTCATGCTGAAAAATGTTTATAAAACATTAATCAAAAAATGCCTCTTTAATACAATGCATTGTCTGAAAGATGTTAGAAGGCACATATTGTAAATGGATTCTTTTTCTGACTAAAGTAATTTCTACCAAAAGCCTTTCCCCACTGCTATACAAGTACACAGTGTGGAGAGATAAAGAGCACTTTCTCAGCACATTACTACCTGATCCAAACACTTGGGAAATCACTAATGTACAGCCTGCCATATTTCCATGTCACACATGACACATTTGTCTAAAATTACCCAACAGAGTTTGACATTGCAGCATATTCCTTAGCAGAGCTTTCAACTGACATCTGCCAAGTAAGAACTTCAAGTAGGAGCTTTCTTCTTCTAACAAGCAAGTAAGAGTTTTCTTTTATCCTATACCCATGATGGAAATGATAAAACAATAAGTACTGGAAATCAGGGGTTTTTTTTCTATTTTAAAATGTTTATTTTATGCTTGCTGGATGTGTAAGCTCCCCTTAAAGCACTGTTTCATCATTTGCTGTTTTCTATCACATTGCAATGGGTTCAGAGAACTTAATAGAACATTTTTATTACCACCGAAACACAGGCCATTATCTCTCCCACCCAAAGCAGAATTATTGCTAGTGCTCTACTTCCATACTTCACTGTATAGGTTTTTTCACTTCAATGTCTTCATAACAAACAATTTATCCTAAACCTTTATTGCCTACATTACTGAAACACATTCCACATCACAAAAGGCTGCAGCATTTCTTCTCAGGAAAAGAGA